CATCCTAATTCACATATTGATAATAACTTATAATTAATATTATTGGCATTAAAGCCAATAAAATAAAATAGGACAAATAGTTTGAGTCCCGGGCAAATTTCACTGTAAAAACCTAAGATAGTATATTAGATTTGTGTTCAATAGATTAAATCACTGAACAAAGCATTCCACACACTAAATATTTTTCATGTTCATAAAAATTGGGAAACTGACCTGACAGTAATGAAAGCAAGGATAGTTGCCACCTGTGTCATATGAAGTATACTCAGAAGAAGAAGAAAACTGTGGAATTGAAAAAAAAAAAAAAAAAAAAGGAGCTCCACTGAGACTTTATTATTAAAGAATATTTTAACTGTTTTTCTTTTGCCTCTTCTTTGTTATCAAAACTCTTTAAGAACAGCACAAATGGCCAAATGAACTTTTATGGCCTACACAATAAGCATTACAAGATTTCCACATATCGCAAAATGTGTGCCATATAATAACTTTGAGAAAATCATCTCCCATACATACATATCAATTTAAATTTTGCTTTCCTGACACATGCTAATAGCTCATTATAAAGAAAATATTTCTCTCATCAAAGGCATATCAAAATCCATGCTACATTATTGAAGTTTTACAAGCATTCTTTAAATATATTTTATTTATTCTTCTATCAAGTGCTACAATGCCAGACATTCACTTGCACATAAAAGTTTTTTTTTCTAATGCTTAAAGCTAGCTGTTATCAAATTTTAAACACAAAAATAGAGTAGATATTAAATATTCCCATTGTACAGAAATCAACACTGAGCCTTAGTTAAAAACAAAACAGCCTTTCAAAAGTGACACTGCTAGTCATGAGAAACATAGTAGAATTCCAGTCTGCTGGTGTCAGATACACTGCTTTTTCTATTTATTCATGCTGCCTCCCAGTGGAACCGAATTAGTCTCTCTTGGGAGATTTTTATAACTAGGATTTTCTCTCTTAAGGACATTTAAGAACAGATATAGCAACTGTATCTGTTGAGTGGTACCACTTTTTTTAAAAAGTCACTTTTATTAAGGTTTATATGAAGTTAAGGTTTCCTAAAATAGGTTACTAATTTCTGAACCGATATACACGGACAAGTGTGACTCTACTACTTATTGAATATGAACATTACATGTTTGATTACATTGGTCAATTTGTTTACAGAGTATTAATCATGTGAAAATAAGCCACTCAAAGCACAAATGCATCACATTCTTAGGCTGTCCATCTATATCAAATGAATACCTATCCATGCTTTCATACTTCCCAGAAACAAGAGGCAGTGAAGTTATAGCCAGACACAAGATGCATTTACAATCAACTGATGACTCACTCAGACTCCCTCAAGATTGACTAGAACTCACGTTCTAGTCAATTTTTGTATAAAATTAAAAAATAAATGTAACAATCTTCACATTTGAAGACTATCACCCATTTAAAAATAAATTACGGACTTATCATTGCAAAATAACTGTAAATTATCATGGATTTCTTTCCGAAGAAAATATTTTCAAGAAAAAAAGAGAGAAAAGAAAAGGAAGGAAGGGAGGGAGGGAGGAAGAGAGAAAGGAAGCAAGGATGAAAGGGAGGGAGGGAGGGAGGGAAAATTTCTTTAGAAGCATTACAAAAAAAATCACAGAAGTATATGCCATTAGATAGGTAAGCCTGATACCTGGAATTTAACCTTTCCCTCCTATACTCCTTTAATTTCCTTACCTCATACTCTTTTTAAATTCAATTTATTTTCTTTCAGGAAATATGGTGTTTTATGCTTAAATAGTGTTTTTAAATGTATTAACATCCAAGTAGTCACTAAACCATAAAGGGAATTGTCTTGGTGACATATTTCAACAAAATTATAGAGTACTCAGAAGTTGGGTGAGGGATGTGACCAAAATAAATATTTAGGTAAATTGAGAAAATCGATGTTTTTTTTTCCTTTGCTTTTCAATCTAACATGCTTTCTTAAGGATACAAGACAACCACACTGGAGAATCAGTAACTGACAAGCCTGTTTGCATATAGTGACCTCCTCTCCTTGTAATACAGGAAAACATTTCCACCTAGAGTCCTTTCACAGAATATCTAGAGACCAAATAAAATCAACCATAATGACAACCACAGCCAGATAATGATCAGTTTTTAATTGAAGCATCAAGCCAATTAATTTGTGACAAGTTCCTATCACTTCTTATTCTTGATATGAAGTTTCAGAGGACTCAAATGGTATTCTGGTCCATGGCAGCTGTGCAACATTTCAGTTTGATTTCTTTTAAAATCACATTTATTATAGAGGAAAGCATCTTTAGAGATGGAGTCCTAAAACTGAATTTGAGATTACAAAACAACCTCACTAGTTTGATTCGATTAAATGTCAAGAAACAAAACTTCTCTTATGAATCATATACACAGAATCTTCATAGCAGATCTTCTTTTGGTTTTAGAGGTGTATTTCAGAAATACATTTGAGCCCTAAATATGTATTTGTCTTGGTTAATTTAATTCAACAAATACATGATTATTCTCTATATATGTAGTGCCTATATTTAGATAAGTAACTATCATTTTTTCACATCGTAAACATTTCTAAAACTGGATTTTAAGAATATAAACCATCTTTTTGGGCTTTCATCAAGATATATATACTTGCCTTCCACCCAGAGCACCATCCAACATAACACATGAATGACAAACTTTATATCAATCTTCCCTGAGATAATGCTATGTGTTACTCAGGAATGAAAACCATCAATAAATTGTCCTGCTTCCATTTCCACTACAGTAAACATATTATATAAAAATATTAATTTATATATGTATCATAATAAAAAATAATAGATGCCTTACATAACCAAACCGCTTCTGCCATCAATAGGAAATCCACTCCATTTAAATTCTTAAGGTGAAATACCTGATAGATCTCAAAACATTTTACTGGTTTTGAACAGGAAGTGCATTTTTTTCTTGCTCACACTGCAACTGTATTGGAAGTAATGCATGCTACTGGGTGATGATGATAGGACACTAAATAACATCTCCTTTTATAAAAATGTTAACTACTGCTTCCAGTTTCTGAAAAATATTTTTTGCCCTTTCAGCATGTGGCCCGATATTTTCACAAATGATGGATCTTAGCTTCTATTTAGTTAATATTCCACGCCCCATGGTAATTTTTGGTCTTCCTTCAGTATTATTCTAAATATTCATGTTTGTTAAGAGCCACCTTTAGAAGACCCTGAAATTGCATTACTGAGTGTAAAACGACCACATATGGTATGCACAAACACAGCACAGCACAGCACACTCAAAAATACATACACTGCCGGCTGGCTGACAGACACGGGGGTAATCACAGCAACCAAATACATAAATATATTTATTGTTTAGACATACTCATCAAATATATTCAGTGTCCACTGAGCCCAAGGCAGTACATAGCAGAGATGATATCTGTTAGTGGCTTCAGCAAACTGGATTATGTCAAAGTGTGAAATGTGAAATGAATCTGACTTCATCAAATAAACTGAACTCCAAGGCCATTTCCCAGCACTTGCTCCCCTACCTCAAACACACAAGCTTAACTTCTCCCTCCTTTCTCTTCTGATCCTCAGGCCATGACTTCCTTCTCATCCTTATCTCTCTCTCTCTTTCTCTCTCTCTCCAAGTATTTCACCAGCTTTCCTCTGTTCTCTGAGCCAATCCCTCAGGAAAGGAAATCAGCAAAATGCTGAATGGGGAGACTTCACCAGCAGGTGAAGAGGAAAGGAGAGGAAAAGAAGAGGGTGTGGTACTCGTTTTCTCCACCACACCCCAACCCTGGAGTCTTGGACTCCAGTCCACTGCGGCTTAGAGGGGGCACAGCAGGAACCCTCGCTCACCTCGGAGCAGCCGGCCCAGACAAGCCGTGTTTTTCGCAAAAAACTTCCCTTAAAGAAGGCAAATATTCAAGGGAGGCGGGCGAAATTGGGCATTAGTTCGAATACACATAAACCAGAGCACCACGGAGCGACACTGAAAGGCACCTTTTCAGACACGAACCCTAAAGACTAGCTCTCACCCTTCACTCCCTCCCACCCTGAGTATCTGAGAATTTACAGAGATCCAAAGGGCGAAAGGGGAGAGGAGAAAGAGGGCATTACCTCACGGGGCTGCCCTCGGGGCGCGGGCCAGGATCTCATCCCCGAAGTGGCTCCAGTTCAAGGCACAGCTTTCCAGAGCTCAGCCAGATTCGGACCCGCGTCCCCGAAGCGCGGCGCGGAGCTAGGAAGCGCGCCGGGACTCCAGCTCACGTCCCCCGCCCCTGCCGCGCGGGCTCCGCCACCCCGCGGGCACGCTGGCTCTCCGCGTTCGCCCCGCCGCCTCCCGGCGCCCCCACACCCACCCGCTCCACGGCGCCCGCTGGGAGCCTCTAGCGGAGGCGGAGGGAACCGCAGCCGACCCGCTGCGCCCTGGCTCCGACGCCGGTTGCAAGAGCCGGCCAGGAGGCAGCGTGGGCTTCGCGCGCCCCCGAGTCAGCCGGCCGGGTGCCGCCGCCTACCCCACCTGCCCACCTGCGCCAGGCTCACCTGCCACAGCGTCCTAGCTGCGTTCACCGGTGCCCATGGCTCTCTAGGGCAAATGGGCGGGTGTGGGGTGGGGGGAGTCTGCGGTGCTAATTTAAAAAAAAAAAAAAACCTCTGTGGAAAAAAAATTAAAACCCAAAAACCACATCCACGCTGTATATCAACCTCGACAGAGAGCCCAGCCCGAAATCTATTTCCAGTAGGTTTCAGAAACTGTAAGGACAGGACACTCCTCCGGCTTCCTGCCTCGCGGCTGGGCAGCGCGGCACCGGCTACTACCCGACTCGCCAGCGCAGGTCGTGCGATCCCGTGGCGCCGCCCGGAGAGATCCTCCTAACTTGGCTTAGCCCCCACCCCATCCGCAACATCTATTTTAAGTTATTGTCTCTGGTAATTCAAGCAGCAGCTTTGCTGCCTCTTACCTTCAGGCGCTGTTAATTCTTCGTGTCCTTAAAATCCCAAGCCAAGGATGCGACGCACACAAGTCCAGGGGCTTTTTCTGGACTACCCCCTCCTCAGCTCTGTCGGCCCCTTCTTTCCAAGGGATTGGGAGGGTATGGCGGTTCAAAAGCTCACTGTAGAGGCGCCTCCAAGCCTTCACGCCAGTGGAAACGGGGACGGGACCACCTTCCTGGCACCTGGACCCAGCCCCTCCTCGGCCAACTTGGCTGCCTATTCAGTTTTCTTCCGTAACCCCACAGACACGTCAATCAATTCCCTGGTATCAGGCAAGATATTCTGTTAACGCCGCTCCTCTAGCTTTCCCTCGGTAATGCCCCTCCCCCTTCTCTACCCCTAATTTGGAAAATCTTCTACTCTCTGCTCGAATTAGGCGCGGGTGAGGCGGAGAGATGTTGTCAGAAGGGCCACTCCAAGGCACAGCTTCAGAACGCCGTCTCCCTGGGCTGCTGCAGTACGGAGATGTCTGTGCTGGGGAAACTTTGAAAGGAGGCAACGCCGGCACGGGGCTGGGCGGGCGGCAGGCGCCAGGTGAGGAGGCTTGGCGGAGGCAGCTGCAAGGAGGGACGCCGGGCTGACGGCTGGGGCTCGGTGGCCCCGCTCCGCGCTCGGGTTGCGCACACACACTGACGCGCACACCCGCGCGCGCACAGCCACACACGCACGCCCAGCCCTGTGCCCGCGACTCCGGGCCACTCGCGAGCGTAAAGTAGGGAGACGTGAGGAGGGGTAGGGGTTCCAAGGATGCTAAGGACAGGAAGAGTCAATCAAGCCTCACTAATTAGCTGATTGCAGGCAGGCAGTTCCTCGCTGCATGCCCTTAAGTCCGTTGGGGCCACCTCTCCGTTCTCTGCCCTGCCTGGCGTTTCGACTCCCTGGCTGTTTTCTTGAGGCCAGTTACACCCCCTCGGCACCCAGCGAGAGGTCACCAGACTAAAGATTAGCCCGGTTTCCATCGCCACTCCCCAGGGGCCACCTCCGCCCCTTCTGTAGTGGTGAATTGGAGTGGCTGCAGCAGCTAGCTAGGAAGCTGAGGGACTCCCCGAGGTACTTCGAATAGAGGGGCCTACACATCGCTTCGTGGACATAATACCCTCTCATCCCACCTTTCCTGCCCACTGCTTCCGTAACATTTCCCCTAAGAAGCTCCCGAAACTCACTTAGATGTTTTTAAAATGATTTTCTTCGGGAATTGTAATGCTTAGCTTTTGGAACTGGGTTGATTCAGGGTCTACGCTTATATTGTAAACTGGACGGTAGCAGGTGAAAGGCTCAGCTGGAGAAAGGGGAGGGATTAAAAGTCTGGAGACCCAACCCCTTTAGCAGCCATTTCCAAGGTTTTTCACCAGGAGTAGCTGTCCGGGTCTCTGACTAGCTCCTGTCCCAACTTCTTTTTCTTCCCTCGACGGCTGGGAGGAATCACTGGGTGCAGCACCGATGGGGCGCCCCAAGCAGGAGAGACATTGCTCTTAGAAGCGCCCCGGGTCATCCACAAGTCCCAGGAAAGGAGCTTCCCAGAAGAAGTTTGCTTTACCTGGAATGGGCCTGCGCTGCAGGAATTAATTGCTTACAGAAAGTAAACTTTTGCTCATTGTTTTCTGTGCTTTTTTTTAAACCAAGATTTGCATTTGTGCTCCGCGCAGTGTGTCTATTCCAATAGAGCACTACCATGCCTTTTCACGTGTGGGACAGACTGAGGATTGCTGAGGATTTCTCCCCTCTGGGGCTTCGTGAATATCTATGGCTTGGGATCTGCTAGCGGAAAACGCGAAGTTGCCCAGCTTGGAGATGGCGCCAGGTTCCTTTGCTCTGGTGCCGGGTGCACCGCTCTGCCACCCACCGCCAAAGTCTCCATCGAGAATCTCCTCTGAATCAAAGGAGCTCTTGATTGTTTCTCTTCAAGTCTGAAGGCGGTTGACTTTGCCGGGAACCGAGTACGTGAGCGCCAAACATGGAGTCACAGAAGTGAAGATTTAATACAAAAGATGAAACTTGTAGGATGACCTCTAGCAAGCAGCGCCACTCACAGCTCTGAAATCGATCCAGAGTATTCCACGGTGAGCGTTGCGGCTCCCAGGGGCTCCGGACCGGTGACTTCAGGCACAAGTCTGAATTTCAGGGATGAACCTGGTTGGATTCTGTTTGAGCCGACTCTAGCGGAGGCACTGACAGGAGCTGTGGGTTTAGGGGTGATGGATCCATGGAGGCTGCCACTTGAAGCGAGCCGACAGTTGGCGATCCCCTCCCACTAACTTGCTCAGCTGCTCAAGGCTGCTCACAGACCCACGCGTAAGGATTTAGAGTGTGTATCCAACGCCCAGACTTAACTTCTGGTGCAATTAAGAGAAGAGCTTGAAGCTAAACCGCGCAGCTTGCACAAAGAAGTGAATAATGAATTCGGTGGTGAGATGCTAAGGAATAAAAAGAGGCATTTTATTTGCGTGCGTATTAGTTTGCCAGGATTGAGTTTTTTGGTTTGATTTCCTAAAATGTATCTTTGACACTGACTCTTTTGCAGCCTTTCAAGAGGGAGATGTTCGGCAGTGTTTTGGAACCTGGTATGAATCTATACGTTGTCTGCTTGCCACAATGTTTGATGCTTCTTCGAGTTCTAATTCTTATTCCTAATTATTAAATGACTGTTCCTGATAATGAAGTGGGAATAAGAATTATAATAAAATAATCCCAACAAAAGGCCATCTTTAACTTATGATTTCTGATTATATCAGCCTCCAATTACCAATAAAATATTCTGGCAGACTATTGAGACATGAATTGCAGAGCTGTAATCAAGAGACTCACTTGATTCAAGAAAATTCAGAATTTAGAGCAGCCTGTTCTCCAAAAAGGTTCTGACTTGAAATTTCTTTCTTGGTTATGGTTGGTATGCCGGCCACTGTCTGCAACTAAAGTTTCTCTTTAAAATAAACATAGGTTATTCACACATTCATTAACTTTAATGTCTGAAGGGTGCCTTATAGTGGTAGGAAATGTAGAAAGTCATGTACCAGCCATAGCGAAGTCTTTTTCACTTGCTTTAAGTTTCTGATGTATGTGTAGGCAGTCGTGGTAATCCACAGCATAATATTCTTGACATTTAAGTACCCTAAAAAAGAAGAGCACCTGTAGATTTCTGTTTCCTGTTCAAAAAATGGATAGGGATCACCCTTTTCCTCCCAGCCTTTTACACTTTGCTTTTATGGGGGAAAATATTTAACAAACATGGACAGCAAACCTCAGGATCAGAGGATATATCCACTCTTGGTACTCTTAGATCTATCTGTAGAATTGAGAATAAACTATTGAGACTCAAAGGTACTGTCAGATTCAAGAGCCTTATTTCACCACCAAATTAAAATAACTACAGCATTGTTCCAGTGTTGTCTATGTCTTTATATTCTCTGATAACTGAATTTGAAATATATACTATCTCTTCTGATGGAAATATCTTGATCCTTTTCCCTCCTTAAGATCCTTTCTCTACAAACTGCCATTTTCAGATCACTTTTTACTTCTCTAGAGCATAGCATTCAATCTGTTGGTGTATTTTTTTTAACATAGATAAAAGCTATTTTTTCTTTGCTGATATGCCTTTGCTACTATACTGTCAGCTCTTAGAGGAGATATGTTGTCATATACATTGTTGTTCCCCAGCATCTACACAGAATCTAGTACAGAATAAAATAGATGCATATGGTGATGATAATGACGATGATGAAAGCTACCATGTGTTAAGTAATGACTAAATATTGTGAACAGGATATCAGTTGATCCTGTTCACAACCTGCCTACCTAAATTTTATGTCCTCAAATTACAGGGAAATTGAGACTTATGTGAATTTACCTAAGGTGATAAATCTATTTTGTCACAACTGAGTTTGTATGGAACCTATACAGTATCCATCTGACCCTGAAGCGTGCACCATTAATCGTTTTGCTCCATTCAAATAGATGAGTTCCCACAAATTCAATTATTCAAGACTAAAAGGAATTTATATATTTGTAATGCTAAATAAAGGAATATGGCAAATTTAAAAATTAGTTCCTTACCTCTTATGCAATCAAGTCCATATCTGTTTGAGTGTCAAAACAGTGGAAGAGTTTACTTCTCTTATTGGGCTAAAATAGGAGAGTGTCTTCTTGGCATTATTACCATGGGAATGACAAATGCTGAGTTACAAGTTTCCTTTGAGAGAGTGGAATCGGGCCATTGGGAATTTTATGGATATAGAAAACTTTAATTGTTTATTTCCATGTTGATGCTCTTATGTAAAACAAAGAGGATGCTATATTATAAACTCTCAGTTATGTAAAATGAATAAATTCTACAGACCTATTGTACAACAGTGTTCCTATAGTTAACCATACTGCATTATAAACTTACAAATGTGTTAAGAGGGCAGATCTCATGTTGACATATTGCAACAATTTAAAAAATAATAAAAGCCTCAGAACACAGACAACACTGAATATAGAATGAATGACATAGGAACATGCCATAGCGATGTGTTATAGTTGTCAATTTCAACAGTTCATATTATAAAACATCTTTTAAACCTTGGATCATTACAGTACAAATACAGAATATCCATATCATGGAAGTCTAAGCTGCTATGGAAGAATGAAGAAATTCTCCTTAATTCGTATAAAAAGTTCTCCACGATATTTTTAGGTGAAAATTCCAAGGTAAAGCAAGGTGTTTTCTCCAAAAATTAATAAAACTGGTTGGGGCCATGGTGTAAGTGGGCAGATGGTATCAAGGATAGAGGTTAGACTTTTTATGTTCTTTTGATTTTGGAGCCATGTGTAAGTTTTACCTTATAAAATAAAGGAGTGCCTTTCAGGGGCTGCATGGAAAGAAGAATATAACAGATGTATCTCCTCCTTTTACTTTAAAAAAGTGTTCTTTGTTGTTGTTTTTTAAAAAGATAGGTGAAAGTTGTGAAATAACCTGGCCTGCAGTACATTTGCTCATTTACTCCTTTCACCAGAGACAGACCTTGAGGGAAAGAAGCAAAAAGGGGTTTCTTAGTTCAGTTCGGATTACCATAACAAAATACCATCGCAGGGGTAGCTGAAATAGTAGGAATGTATTTCTCACAGTTCTGGAGTTCTGTGAGAAACATTTTTCACAGTTCTTAGAAGGCCAAGATTAAGATGCCAGCCAATTTGGTTCTTGGTGATGGCTCTTTTCCTAGCTTGCAAACAGCTGCTTTCTAACTATGTCCTCACATGGCCTTTTCTCAGTGTGTGTTAGGGGGGAGAGAGTAAAAGAGAGATATATGTAATCTAATCCACAGTTTATATGTCAACTAATCCTATCATGAAGGCCCCACTTGCATAACCTGTATAACCCTAATTACCTCCCAAAGGTCTCCTCTCTACACATCACCACATTAGATGTTAGAGCTTCAACACATGAATTTGGGGTGGGAAGAAGGCACAACATTGAGTCTGTAACAAGTTAGCAGGTCTAATCTCCTTGTCAATTCTACCTCCCCTGAGGAAATAAACTAATGGTATTTGTTATAAGGAAGAGGGATGTCTTTGTGCCTTAGCAGTATATCTGACTAAGGATTACCTATGATAGACAGAAGCAGAGTTTATAAGGCATGGCTTCCTGGAGAATGGCATATAGTGTGTCCAGTGCTGGGCTATAAATTGGAGATGTTTTGTAATTGAAGCACTACCCACTGTGTGAGGAACCATGCAGGCCTCACTTGGAGGCTTTGTCTATCCTGGGCTAGAGTGATGTGACTTTGACAGGAAAGAAAGACCTAGAGAGCAATTATTTTGAAACTTTTGATAATCCTTTTGTTTGTACCCTTGAAATTATTTAGTTTAGGCTAATACTGCTTATGATCTCTAATTCATGTTAGTCTGATTTGAAAATTCATTCTTGAGAAATAGCTCAAAAATGACTTAATTCAAATAGTAAGCAAATTAAATGATATATTTTATGTACCAGAAATATTCTAGGATCACTAGATTTATTTATTAACTTAATCCTAACAACAAACCTAATGATCATTGTTATCTTCGTTTTATGGATGAAGAAATAGTCACACAAAAGCCAAATAGCCTTGCCAAGGTCACATTGCTGCTTCAGTGGTACAGCCAGGGTTTAAACCATGACTGTGTAACATTTGATCACAGCTTTTTAACCTACACTAGAAGGTTCTGTATTAACCATAAGCCCTGTTAGAACAGGGACTTGGATTTACTGTTCATCACAGGCTCACCAGGCCAAAAGTGGTACATGGAACCTGACGGGATATAAACCATGGATAGTGGTGAGACAACTGAGTATCCCAGTGTGCCACACACTGTGCTATTTGCATTATATATGTTACTGTATCGAATTTTCTTTCTTTCTCTCTCTCCTTTTTTTTTTTTTGAGAAATAGCCTCACTGTGTTGCCCAGGCTGGAGTGTAGTGTTGCCATCTCAATTCACTGAAAATTTTGCCTCCTGTGTTCAAGTGATTCTCCTGCTTCAGAAAACCACCACTATGCCTAACTAACTTTTGTATTTTTGGTAGAGATGGGATTTCACCATGGTGGTCAGGCTGGTCTCAAACTCCTAACCTCATGTGATCCACATGCCTCGGCCTCCAAAAGTGCTAGGATTACAGACACGAACTACCGTGCTCAACCTTTTATTGAATTTTCAAAACAACTCCATGACTTTTATTATTATTCTGCTAATTGTCAACATGAAGTTGTTTCCTCAAAGTGTCACAGTGGTTCAGTATGGAAACAGAATCTCTACCCAGTACCATTATGCCACACTGCTTTTAACCTAAACTATTATTTTATGTGATAATATTGTGTTGTAGCTAAGTCACTTGCTTACATTATGTCATTATTCTAGTGTTCAAAACACATGCTACAACAAAATAAACAGAGATCAAACATGGAGTTGGAATAAATATTTTCCTAAGCAGTTGGAGTGTTTTGCTGAAGAAACTACTTAAGTGTCAGTGATTTACCACTTGCCATCCTCCTAATATAAGTGGGTGCCCTGGTGACTATTTCTGATATTTTTTTGACAAGGCAGGAAATCAGACAACGCAATATGGTCAGGAAAAGGATCATAAATGTTCCTTTCTTTTTATAACTTTTTATAACTTTGACCCATTTGATTTCTTACAAAAAAAGTGGTGCTTGTTTTCAACTCTCTCTTCCTTTGTCAGTCAGTGAATTCATAAGCCATCCATAAAATTTCAAAATGCCATTCTTTATTGCACATTGTAAAAATGAAACAACCAATAGAAAACTTTTACTTGTACCTCAGTTCAAATTTTCCTTTTCCTTAAATCTTCAACATAAGGCAGTGCTTGGAATGGCAGTTGAAAGATGACACGAGCTATCACCTAGGGGCCGGCTACTGATGAATTCACATACCAGACCAAGGAGCTTAAAATTCATATTGATGATAATGGGCAGTTTATAAGCAATTTATCTCCTGATTCATGAATCTCTGTGTCATGGTTAATCTTCAGTCTTTGGAGTTAGACCTCCTGGATTTGAATTCTGGCTCTGAGACTTGCTAGTTGTTTGAACTCCAAAGAAAATCAAGAGTACTTATAGAAGCACATAGGAGGGCCCTCTGAATCATTTTAGGGGACATATGAACAGAGGGGAAACATCAGACAGGGTAGTTCCAGGACTACTACCCAGAGGAAAATATTCTAAGCAGAATTGCAAAGGAAGACTTTTCAGAAGCCTGAATATGCAAACAAATAGGTTGAAAGCTATGCACAGTTTTCAAAAATGAGATAGGAGCAGGGGGTGGCAGAAAGAGAGAAGAGACAGAAAAATAATTTGTTATCATTGTGGTAACTGCAGACAGATGTTTGAGCTGAAATTTAAGCAATTACTAACTTCTAGTACCTAAGAATGTAATTATATTAAAAGAGCCTTTAAAGAAGTGATTAAGTAAATGATTAAGTAAAAAGGAAGTATTAGGTAAGTTTAAAGCCAATGTGCCTGGTGTCCTTATGAAAAGAAGAGAATAGGACACTAGAGTTGCCTGTGTCCAAAAGGTGGACCATGTGAAGAGGCAGCAAGAGGGCAGCCAAGTCAAATAGAGAGACCGCAGGAGGAAACAACCCTGCTGACACTATGGAATTAGACTTCTGGTCTCCTGAACTGTGAGAAAACAAATTTATGTTGCTTAATTAACACACTCTGTGGTATGACAGCTCTAGCAAAACTAAGAAGGGAAAAACAACTAATAGATGAGACTGGAGAAGTCAGCTTGAACCTTGGTGTGACATCAATAAGCTCATTCTCATAAGATCATGTCAGAGGAATAAGAATAAGAAGGAAAGGCAAGGACAATTAGCAATTAAAGATTTTTTCCTAAACTAAGACAGTGAGAATAGGCATGGAAAGAGATAGAAAAATTCTGGAGAGGTAGAGAAGACAGAAACCACAGAATTTATAGATGGATTTCAGAGTAACCGTGTAGGAGAAGTATCGAACCAAAAAATATCCTTTTACAAACAAGAAAAAAGGTAAAGAAAGGGACCCTTTTTGTTATATATTTTTGCTGGTGGATAGTTAGATGATTTAATCAGAGTTGGGATGACAAATACAAATGAACACATAAAACAGTCAAAACAAACATTAAATACCAATGTAGGAAAACAATATAACATGTGTCTTAAAGCAGTATGCAACGAGATACAAATGCTTGTTTAACAAATAGGCCTATAAACATGGAGAAATGGGATTTCCTAAACTGAAAGATGAAAAAAAGAATTCCTGAAGTTTGGAGCTGGTTTTGTAAGAATATAATATTTGAGAATGTGAGGTTGAATGAAGAAAGAGAGAAAATGAGTAAAATGAACTAAGATTTGTGAGGTTGAATATATATAAAGAGAAAATTAGTAAAATGAACCAAGATTTGTGAGGTTGAATGGAGAGAAAGAGAGAAAGTGAATAAAATGAACCAAAATATTGTGGGAGTATGTAAAGGATATTTGTACACTGGAAGCAAAACAGGTTGGGCAAACAGATTAGTGGAAAAATATAGCTGGAAGTGTTTTCAAAACTAAATTTGAAAGAGATTGTAGAGTCTTGAATTCTGACTTGCAGGTGGGGTTTTAATTATCTTGATTATATTGGGGGTAGGATTCAGTTGTCAGTAAGTTTGTGACTTGTGCACGATAGTACTTTATTTCTCTTGTAGGAAAGAAGTCTAGAAATGAGCAGTTTAGGGGTTATATTGTGTCATTTCAAGATTGTCCTATGCTGTTCTGCTCCATGTGGCTTCCATTCCCCAGGTCATTTTGTGATCCAAGAATTCAGCAGAAATGCCAATCATCAAAAAGAATAAGATGAAAGAGTGAAAAGGCAACCTCAAGGATGTCCCACACAAGACTTCTGCTAACATATCTTCACCCAGATTTTAATCATTTGGCCATGAAAACTGTAAGGCAGGCTGGGAAACTGTTCTTTTTTAGTCCTATGGCTATATGCCCAGCTGGTAAGTGGAGATCTCTTACTAAGAGCTGAAGAGAAAATGAATGTTCAAGGTAAAGGCTATCCATACTCTGTTACTGGTTATTTTTGGTTTAAATTCATTTTCTTAAAAGAATTATTTGTGTCTTATTATTGTTGTTTAGTTTCTCTGGATACTAGATGTTTTTACTTTTTATGTCCTTTTATTTCAAATTATAAACCTTTTTCTTCTCACTAAAACTCGATCTTACCTAAATAGTATCAAATATTAATGTATAGAATATTTTGGTTTTGCATGCTTTTGGCTTTGCATGTGTAATTTTTACACTATAAATATAAAAAAAATAGATTTTAAAATGTTTTCATGCATACAATATAATTATGTGAACAATGTAACCTGATGTCTGAAATAATGAAATCTTCATGTGACCGCGTCACTTAGTCAATAATAGTACAAAGTAGCAAAAAGTAAACTTTTGTCACCTTGAGAATTTATAGCTTCCAAAATATTTTAACCAGTAAGAAATTCTGTGATTTCCTTTTACATATTCCTGCACTCAAAGACTTATATCTCTTAATAGAACATAATTCTGAAGAAATTGTTGCTAAAATTCTATTCTAAAGCCATCAACATTATATAAAACGTCAGTGAAAAATTTCATTGTTAAACTGAATGTTGTATAACATGCTTCAACCCTCTTCCAGTTGACACTGGGATTTTGCAGCTTTACAAACATCAGGAAGACAAAGTATAGCTTCTGTTCCAAGAACTATACTGACTGTTAGATGAATGTGAGTCTTTCTGAAGGAGTGCCAACTCACAAATGTTCTTAGTGAGAGAGATAAAGCAACATCATGATAGATTCAGTTGCTGACTGTGTTGACTCAAGAAAGCAATTACCCACTTGCCCAAACAGGAAATTTTTGGAAGAAAAAAAAAGAATACATGGTGCAATTTTAGTTAATGCATTTTATTTATGTTTCTGGGATACAAGCTTTCTTGTGTGTTATTATTTATTAATTTATTTAAGTAGATACTAGTTTCTGTTGTATAAGCAATAGATATGGAAAGGGTCTTACTTGCTTGAATCTCCTGCCAAAGTTGATCAACAACATCATACAGACCATTTCTTGTCCCTTGTTTCTCAATAGATTTCAAATTGTTGAATTGCAACATAATCCACAAAGTCTTAAAGGGTAGGTGACCTAAGTGGCATTATGATTTGCTCTTTCTTTCTTTCACCAAAATAATAGTAAGACAACTTGGCCCTTCTAACAGTGCTTGAATTATTTCAATCAGGAATTGGCTGTGGAATATGAGACAGAAGGTGAGTGGTTGACTATGTGAAATAAAGAACAGTATAAATTATCCAGAAATTCATTAACTGTAATTATTTCTATTTACTTTTATTTTTTATTTATTGAGATGGAGTTTTGCTCTTGTTGCCTAGGCTGGAGTGCAGTGGTGCTATATCAGCTCACTGCAATCTCTGCCTCCTGGGTTCAAGTGATTCTCCTGTCTCAGCCTCTTGAGTAGCTGGGATTAAGATGCCCATCACCATGAAAGGTTTTTTGTATTTTTAGTAGAGATGGGGTTTCACCATGTTGGCCAGGCTGGTCTCAAACTCCTGGCCTCTGGTGATCTGCTCACCACTGCCTCCCAAAGCACTGGGACTACAGGCATGAGTCACCATGCCCGGCTGACTGTAATTATTTTTTAGAGTTCTTAAATTATATGTATATAAGGTATAAAATTCAATGTTTTGACATATATATACATAATGAAATTACTACTCCCAAATAAAATAATATATTCATCTCCTTATATATTTACATAGTTACCATACATATGTATATGTATGTATACCATATATATGATAACTATGGGAGAGTGGGTAGAAGTAGGAGGGAGATAGGGAGATGTTGGTCAAAGGGTACAAAGAGTACAAAACTGTAGTTATGTAGGATGAAAAGACAGCTAATTCTTAAGCAAGATTATATGGTCCTTTCTTCTCTGACAGGAATATCAGAGAAGAAAATATAGGGCATACAGTATAAACAACATATTAATTTACATGCTTGATCTAGATAATTTAACACAATATCATATCTTTTCATTATTATACATTTACACACATGCAGAAACACAAAACTTTTTAATATTAATCATTGGCTCTTGACAGAGCTCATCATTGTTCTATGAATTGCCTACTTTTTAAAAACTGTAATTACGTAAGTTTTTCTAAGAAGTAACAAGCAACATAAACCCATGACTCCTAATGAAACCTGGGATCTTGAAAATAATATATATCTAACCATATGTCCTCTCATCCTTTAATTAATCTATCTGCCATTCTTCTTCCAACATTTTCCTATATCCTGTGTTCATCATTTATTTCCTTTTTATGTTGTTTTCCTGTAACTATCTGTTCTAAAAGATAGTTTAGTTTTATTTATTCATTAAATTTTACATGTAGTGTTATATTGTGTATGTGCTGAATGATAGTTCTTTGTTAAACTGCTCTCATGTGAATATGACAATTCATCTGCTATCCCATAATGGACATTTAGGTGACTTCTACATTTTTTAATATTGTGAATAATTCTGTTATGAACATTTTTGCATGTGTCCCATGCTGTACATGTACAAATAGAAGAGCTGGATCATAGAGGATATGCTTCTTCGGCAATAGAAGGAAATTTTGAATTCCTTTTGAAAGTGTTTGTACAAATTAACATTTCTAGTAGCAATGTATAAAATAGCATGTGGATATACAACATCTCCAATATGAGGTTATTTTCAGATGTGTTTATTTTTGTAATCAAAAGGGTACAAAATAGTAACTTAATGTGGGATTTATGTATATGTTTGTGATCAATTATGATTCTCAACATCTCTATATGTTTGTTAGTCATTCTTATTCCATCTTCTGTGATGTGCCAGCACATGATTATTGCCCATTTTCTAGTGGATTGTTTGTGCCCTTATTGATTTGTAGGAGTTCTCCATATATTCTTAGATCTGATTCTTTTTTGTCAGTACAAACACAAAATTTTCCCATGTGTAATTCATCTCACCTGTTAATTTACCCTTCTTCTCATTTAATCTTTTGTTAACCTGAAATGATCATAATAAATGATCCAAATGCCAAAGGGAACTAAACCACTAAATGGGACAACTGCCACTCTTTTATCAGTATTAACAAAACCAATGCCACATCAAATATTGTGGTATTTTATATTTCATTTACCTGAGAGATAATTTTTAAAAAAGATTAGTGCTGTAATAACTAGAAATCAATCATTGCCAGCTGCCAACTCAAGCGGGAAACATGCATACATGCTCAAAATTTTCATGATTGGATCCATAGTTTAAGAATATAGCCATTATTACAACTCAATGATGTACCAACTCAAATGATGACAACTTTGCTTCAAATAAAACATCTTTGGAAAAGAGCTATGTTTATTACTTCTATAATACAGCAGACTATTGCTCTATCACTGCTTGTTATGATTAATTATATCTCCTGTGGTATAGCAACTATGTACAGCGAAATTTGTAAACATGTATAAGATTGAGTTATTTATCTTAACCATAGAAATATAAAACACAATATGTGGAGTTTCTATTTGAATGTAGAAATGTAATCTATCCTATCTTAAATCTTTTTCCTGGGCCAATAAAGCTTTGGTTTTTTTGAGAACTAGTCTAAAAAAATAGTGTACCAGTATTCTACCCCCCAAGAATCAATTGTTGATACATTTTAAGAAAATCTAAGATATACTACCCATATCTTGCCTTTCCTGCCTAAGATATCTTTTTCTATCTTCATGTGTCATGGTTTAATAATTACCTAGATAAGCAGTAATATCAACTTCTCATGAAATTTTCATTCTGTAATATAGATAATATTAGGATTTGTATTAATTTTATTTATTCAATGGCTTAAGATTTTAGGAAGTAGTTTATACATAGATATCAACAAAAGTAAATTTAAAAAACATGTTAAGAAGGGAAGATAATTTGTTACATAAATTCCAAATTCCTACATAAAAATTTAAAATTAGCAAACAGATTTCTCTGGCTTGAATACTTATGGTTCACTTAAATTAAGGAGTACTTCCTAACTCATAAAGAAAAGGGTTAATGTCTTCTCATTCTACCTTTGTTTTTCTGTTTAACTGTAATAACTTGTAATATCTATGCTTCATTTTTTTAATGTATTCAGTGAAAAACATTTTCTTTCTTTTTGTTTGAAAGTAACATGCTTCCCTATAGGAATGTAAATGCAAAAATATTTTCTTCAGATGTTCCCGCTTTTCCTGGCAGAGTTGAGCATGCCCACCACTGAGTTACAGAAGTAGGCATCTATTGTTATTCTTAAAATGTACTTTCAGATTGTACTTGCTTAAATGTCTAGTTCTTAGATTGGACTGACTCTTGAACTCCGTAAGGGCAGGGATAGTAATACATACATATTTGTTTCTCCAGTTCCATTTTAAATAATTTCTAATACCATTCAAAGTAGGAGGACCTCCCCTCAATACTTTATACTTTCTTACTTTTGCATTATTTATTGTGTATATGCTAAATCAACAAAATGGCAGAGCCTAAATATTATGGTATATTTAATTAGATAGACCACCGCTAGTGCCCTTACACATTTAGTGGGACAGAATGATGTTTCGTAGGCAGAGTTTATTAAAACTTTAGTAGAATTTGTGTGCAATAAACCTATTTTGCTTATAACTGACCCTGTCAAAATCTGAAAAAATTTATCAGTTTCTTCTTTACTTAAAAGTGTTCATTTATCTGTTCTCTTTTTGCAACAGTTTAATTATAACCTGTTTCTAATTGCCTCTTCACTTCTCTTTAGCTGTGTGGGTGCCTTCTAGCATCAGTATAGCTAGCTACATGCAGCAATGCAGCTTTAGGTGTAAAGGGATCTTAATTTGTTAGTTCATGAATTACATTATCAAAGTAAATGGAAATTAGGAAATGGTTTGCTTTGCCAAAAGGCAGCAAGGATGAACCATGAGAATTACAAGTTGGTTAAGAGAAAACTCAACCATGGAAAAAAAAAATAGACATTTTTTATGTAATGATTTTTAAGAAAATTTAGAAAGTATAGTCACTAATAATCAACATATATTATCTAAGAATGTGAACATACACATATTAAATAGGAGAAAGCCTGGTACATCAGGTGAGAACATAATAAAGATATATTTTACTTTCAAAAGTAATTCAAACGACATCCTCTGCGGTAAGATAGTGACATTTTGTTTGCATGCAAACTAGTGGTATCAGAATACTCAATGCATTTTTGTTAATAACTTACTATTAAACTGATGAGAGGGTGCCAGAAGTTGACGTAACTTTTTTTTTCTTTGGCTTTCCGTTTTATTCAGATTGCATCAGTGCCAAGGATCAAAACATATAAAGGATGCAGATGACACAAAGCTGGGAGACATTGCCAATAAAAACAAAGGTAGAATCCAGAATGAAAATGATTTGGTAATCTCTTCATTCCTATTGAAATTCAACAGGAATTTAAAGCCCAGACTGTATGCTAAAAACAACAAATACATAGAGAAGAAATACATTGGCAACTCTTTCACTGGAGGGGACATCTGTGTTTATACTGATTGATGATGTGATAAGGTTACAATGCATTTAATATAGTTTTAAAGTGTTTCAAAAGAAAAAAGGGAATCAGGTTTTACATGAAGTAATAGATACAGAAAATATGCTGCTATTCAAAACATATCTGAATTGTTTTGTTAAATTATCTGTTATATTTTTGGGTGTATAGTGTCAACGTCTGTCTCTGCAGAGGAAACTAGCCAGCATTACATGAGACTCTAAATCTCATGTCATTTGTGGAAGAGTTAAAGAGTCTCTTTCACCATTACAAATTATATGACACATGCACTAACTTTCTGAAATATGAATATGTGAAAATTCCATGGTAATAAAAGTTAATAAAAATGAAAGAGTTTCTTTACTGTAGGACAACTCAATTTTTGATGAAGTGCTTAATGACATTTTAAGGTGTTGATATAATGAAATATTTTCCCATATTATTGAACCACGGAATTCTGCTGAACTTTTTTCTTTTTAAACTCTGGTCAAAAAAGAATACACTGTAAGAAGAAATGATTGTTATAAAGGAAGTAACGAATTTGTTCTATGTCCTGTTTCAAAGGGATAACCAGGCAAGTTTAGGTTCAGTATAAGAAAAATAAAAGATATCTTTACAATGTATTCGAGAAGAGTGAATGACTACCTACAGGTAGGATGTAAGAAGAATCCACATGCAGCTGAGAGTGGGTGAGATGACCTTTGAAGTTAATGTCCACACTTTCAAAGGAATAAACTTTGCTCCAGAAAGCACTACCTACTGCCATCTGTAAAAGAGACCTCTGGAGATACCGTGATCCTAGATTTCGGAAGTCCTCAAGACCTGTGACTCCGTCTTCCAGAATATACATTGAAAGAGGCCAATTGTCCTTGCTTTCATTATGACCTCATACTATGTTGCTGAGACGGGAATAACAGGATGGTTGCAGGAGATTAGAAAATGTCAGGCAGCAGTTTCACATGACTAGTAAAATAGCTTTTTGAAATAGCTGCAGAAACTTTATGTTGATAAAACCCTAAAAACTCAATATGAACCAAGCTGGACAAGACCAAGTGGACTCAAGATGGCATTGGATTTGACCTAGACTTCACCTAGAACCTCATTACACAAATCACACAGCCACCAGTGCCCTGACGGTTCCAGGAACACCTATATTTGGTATAAAAATGAATGGTACTATGGTGCCACTTTTTTCCAATTTTCTAATTATTTTCATGGATATTCCACATCTTGGTAAAAGAAACTCATAAAAGTAGCAACCCCAAAACCTCTTGAGCATGACTCTCTTGAGTATGCCCACACTTCCTTTTCTTTTTCTTCCTTCCTTCCTTCCTTCTTTTTCTTTCTTTCTTTCTTCTTTTTCTTTTCTTTCTTTTTCTTTCTCTTTCTTTCTCTCTCTTTCTTGCTTTCATTCTGTCTCTCTCTCTTTCTTCTTTCTTTCTTTTCTTCTTTTTTGAAATGGGGATTCACTCTTCTCGGCCAGGCTGGAATGCAATGCGTGATCTCAACTCGCTGCAACATCCACCTCCCGGGTTCAAGTGATTCTCCTGCCTCAGTCTCCCGAGTTGCTGGAATTACAGGTTTGAGCCCCCAACCCTGGTTAATTTTGTATTTTCAGTAGAGACAGGGTTTCAACATGTTGGTCAGGCTTGTCTCAAACTCCTGACCTCAGGTGTTCCACCCAACTCAGCCTCCCAAACTGCTGGAAATACAGGCAGAAGCAACCACAGCTGGCCTCTTTTCTTGAGTGTGTACTTTTCCCTTTGCCGTGTTTTTACTTTCACAATTTACCAACTCATCCTTAAGTTTATTCTTATGAAGGTGACAAGAGCCTGGACACTGCTTCCCACTGCACTCTATTCTTTCTACACACGATAGCTAGAGTAAAATTTGAAAACTTTAAAACAGATTACACTATTGTCCTACACTAACCTCTTGCTATACTGGCCTTCATTCTGTTTCTGGATCTTCTTAGGTTCTTATTACTCTGCCTGGAGTAAATCACCCCAGAATGTTCTAATATCTTTACTGCATTCAGATCTATGTTTAAACGTCACCTCTCCAAAGGCCTTTCTGTTCTACTCTATAAATAGTAACTTTGCCTTTTTGCAAACTTCCCTACATTCCCCACTCCCAAACCCAGGTCATTCTCTATGATTGCATTTTGCTTTCTTTTAAAAACATGTATTTGCCATGTTTTTGTTCTTTCTCCTACAATGAAATCAAAGCTCAAAAGGGCAGAGACCTTGTTGTCATTTTATTTATATATCGTAGGACAGTACCTTGCAGAACAAAATGCTAAATATTCCCTTTTTTTTTCAACAAATAAGTATATAAAAGCATGGATCATTTTCTAAAATGTAATTGGGAGTTAGTAATAGATTATTTTTCCCTAACTATAAAATTACCAAAATGACACCATGTTACAGCCAAATTAAAATTGCTGTCATTAAGCTAAAACAAAAATATGTGTTCTTCAAGTCATTTTAAAGTAGCCTATATGGCACGTTATTTTTTTTTAATGTGATTCAGAATATAAAAGAGGTAGTTATTTACAACCCACATTGCAATAAGTTGCTAAGGTAACTACACTATGGCTAAAGCATTTCATCACTTTAATAATTGTATAGATTTTCAGTAAGCAGCACACACAACATATTAAGTAAGATGTATCATTGTGTAAATTACTTTAGAAACTGAGCTGCATAGCGCATATTTACAGGAGGTGCTTTTCAAGGACATTACCTCATAAGGATGAAAAACTAAACATGCCTAAATATTAATAAATATGCCATTCATAATACAAAGTTATTTTAAAATGCTTGTCTTCACAGTTTCATAAATTGAACAATGTACAAATTAATAATTTGATCTAGGATTTTGCCTAATGCGCTATGTCAAGGCTGAAAGCCGTCGAAGTGTCATTGTGAAGAGTTCTTTAGATTTTCTTACTAAAAACTAAAAAGCTTTCGTGCATTATTACCTAAGTGGTAGTTATAATTATAAACCACACTATATACACGAGAAAACTGGATAAAGAGACTTAGGTGAGTACTTTCCTTAGACAATCTCACGACCTCAAAATAGAGTCAGTAACAAAGTTTGGTGGTATTATTCCTAGATCTGTGTTCTTAATCAGTGTGATATTGTGTCTCTCTTTTATTTACTTTCTTTACTAGAAACTCTGGATACAAATTATTATTTTCTTTAGAATGTAAGTTGTTAGAGATTCTGGAAATTTCCTGGACATGGAGTCAATGTACCAGTCAATATGATGAAGTAAGTCCACACTGCACTATGAATAGAGGAAGGGGAAAGGTCAGAGAAACTCTAGCAAAAGGCATTTTATGACATTAGCATCCTCTAGAAGTCCTGGTATTTGCATTGCCTGAGATTAGGTTTCCTTTGCCTTTTGAGAATTGACTTGACAGCTGTTAGGGTCCAACTGCTTAAGATCCATGCTCCAGTGACATTAGTACTCAGTCTGTTGAAAATATAGAAAGTATATGTCCCTAACAGGCCTCACATCATCTCATCTTATGCAGATGAGAAGTAAATAGTGCTGCATGTGTGCTCTGCCCAAGAATTTCTAGATCTGAGTTTGAGTTAATAGATTCCCAAGGAGACCAGGAACAATCACCTGGGAAGCTCAAGTTAAGGACTTAGATCATCCATCTTCCCTTCCAATTTTTTTTCAAAGAATTGATTAAAACAACAACAGGAAGCAGCAGCATTTATCTTAATTACAGTAACTATTTGGACAAATGTGACACTTAGGTATCTACATACTAAGGATGAAAGTTCCTAAAGTGACTACTGGTTAATCTTTTACTTAGTTCATTTGAATTGACATTAGATTTCTCAATGATAATTCACTGCATATTTAAAAATATAAAAGGAAAGTAAGCACAGGCTTTTGATTCCAAATGAAAAACTTCTGGAGCTCACTTCTAGCAAGCAATTTTGTAGATGTTAATGTTCCTCCAATATCTAAGGTATCTAAATAATATTAGCAATTATCTTTTGTCTAAATAGCATGTCACAATTTTCCAACACAGTGATATCCATTTTCTTACAGGATTTTCATAATTCTTAAAGGTAGTATTTTTAATTGACATTTTTACCCTGGAGAAAACAAACTCAAAGCCAAACTTGTAAGTGGAAAGGCTAAGACTGATCAGATTTTCTGACTGGCCTGCTTATGTGTCTCTGGAATTTCATTGTAGTTCCAAAAATTACTTAAGCAGTTTCTTTTTACCTAGAGACTTCAGCTGATTTAAGGGACAACTAAGTAATCAATTGATCTGTATTTGCTATATAAGATGCATCATAAATATAGCAGTCTAGTTGCATTTAGTAATGAACAAGTGGCAATGGATTAAGGAAAAATGGAGTCTCACCTCAGTAACTAAACTATGCAACTTTCAGCCATTCATGGCCTCGGTATCCTTACATGTAAAATAAAAAGGGAAAACCAAATGATGTCCAAAGCCATCAATAACCTACTTTTAAAATTATGATGTAAATTATAATACTTGATTATTAGAATATTGCACAATTTTTATATCTTAATGTCTTTTCAGAGCAATTATACTAGATATTTTTCTGGAAGCTGGAGATTTTTATTTTCCCACAGAAACTCTCTCATGTTCTCAAAATTTCCAGGATTATAATAACAGAAGTAAATTGTTGCATAATTGTATAGTAACAAGAATTGTTGTCTGCTATAGAGACTATAAATTCATAGGTTTCTTTGTGAGATATTTTTACATTTTGAAAACCTGATATGAGTCACTGTATGTCTAGATATAAATGATTTGATTTTGATGAAAGCAGAGACAGTTCAAACAGGGATATTAACTTTTTGTTTTGGTTTTTCTTACTGACTGAGGAATGCAAAGTTTTGGTGACTCAGGTTAGTCTGTAAAATAATATATTAGAGCCAAATATAAAGACAAATATAAGAGGCATATACCCTTCATATGTCTTATGGCAGAGCACAAATGCTCACTTGAGTTTTGGAAATTTAATCAAAACGAATTGAACTACACAATTCTGGAATATTCTATCAATTTAAGACTAAAAAATAAATTATGAGTTCTATTTCTAATATTTCTAAGTGATGTCTATATATTCACCCATCCACCACCTACATATAGAACTTTCATTGACAGTGTCAACATTCTATGTAAAATTTTAGGAAGAGCATACTTCGTTCTCATGAGTACTTTTAAAGAAGACCTACTAATTTTTTTCAAATTGTACTTTAGGTTCTGGGTTATATGTGCAGATCATGCGGTATTGTTGCATAGGCACATACATGGCAATGTGGTTTGCTGCCTCCATTCCCCCATCACCTATATCTGGCATTTCTCCCAATGTCATCCCTCCCCAATCTCCCCACCCCCTGCTGTCCCTCCCCTAGCATCCCCCAACAGACCCCAGTGTGTAATGTTCCTCTCCCTGTATCCATGTGTTCTCAGTTTTCGACATCCATCTATGAGTCAGAACAAGCAGTGTCTGGTTTTCTGTTCTTGGGTCAGTTTGCTGAGAACGATGGTTTCCAGATTCATCCATGTCCCTACAAAGGACACAAACTCATCATTTTTTATGGCTGCATAGTATTCCATGGTGTATATGTGCTACATTTTCCTTGTCCAGTCTATCACTGATGGGCATTTGAGTTGGTTCCAGGTCTTTACTATTGTAAACAGTGCCACAGTGAACATACATGTTCATGTGTCTTTATAATAGAAAGATTTCTAATCCTTTGGGTATACACCGAATAATGGGATTGCTGGGTCAATTGGAATTTCAATTTTTAGGTCCTTAAGGCATTGCCACACTGTCTTCCACAATGGTTGAACTAATTTACACTCCTACCAATAGTGTAAGTGTTCCTCTTTCTTGATATTCTCTCCTTCATCTGTTGTCTCCAGATTTTTTAATGATCGCCATTCTAACTGGCTTGAGATGGTATCTCAATGTGGTTTTGATTTGCATTTCTCTAATGACCAGTGATGATGAGTATTTTTTCATATGTTTTAAGGCCTACTAATTTTATGTATTTTGTGACACTTTGGCATAATATTGTTGAACAGGAAGGATAATGCCAAATATTAGCAAAAAATTTTACTAATTTCTTTGTATCCCTAGAACCACATGTTTAAGTAGCATAATGAATATAGAAAATGATTGTATTATAGTGGAAAGAACACTGGACATGAAGATAAAAATCCTAAATTTGATGTCATGTGTACATTTCATGAACTTCCTTTATAGTCTTATGTAAAGAATATTATATATACCTCACGAGTCAGTTCTGTGTATTAAATAGAAAAAAAGTTAACCCTTATACAAGACAAAGCTATCGACAAATACTGAGTATTGTTCTTAATACAGATACAAGTATAAATAAGACATAAGAACCTCCTAAAAAACTCCTCTTTACATAAAAAAAAATTCAAATGCTATTGATCCTCCTCATCTGTGTCTTTTTTCCATAGGAAGGATGGTTCTACAAGTAGAGGAAGATAAGCATCCTGATATTGTTTCATAAGTCCCAAAGATAGAAAAGTCTCCATGGCTTGGTTTTCATTACAGAATTGTATATACATAAAATTTTTCTTCTTAAAGTATTGAACACCAATATTGTGTTAAATGAGAGAATTCTGATTCTCTCAAATGGTCAATTTGATACAGAATATGTTTAGCACTATGCCAGGAAAAATCAACAATAATATAAAACTAATTTGTAGCAACTGCAGGTGTTCGTGGTGTTCTTACTATAGCCAATGCCAAGCCAACAGTTTGCCATCAATGAAAGTGTAGTTGGGAAGAAAAAATTTGGGAGAAGATGATGAACAATTAGTTATCCAACCCAGTGCAACCTGGCTCCAGCAAACACCCAACTAGCAGGCCACTTATATTTATTTTGGCATCTAGTTATTTTAACCAAATACAAGAAGAATCTTAGAGGTGCTTATATCTTGCTTTTATTTATATAAGCTCCTATTATATTTAAACCAGAAATGTCACCTATTTTGTCACATATTTTACGGGGAAACTGAAACATTTAACACTACCAAGTTAAAATAGTTTTGAATTTAAAATATACTTCTCTTTCCTGTTTTCTCTGTTCCCAGAGAAATAACAAGAAATTATTTGACTGTAATTCTAGTTTCAGGATTGCTCAGAAAAGAAGGCAGCAAATGATAGAAGACTGTCTCAGTTTTCACTGTAGATTCTTTATTGAGGAAAGTTAATTCTCAATGGGTTATGTCAGCAACTGCATGAAATACATAGAGCGAGACACAAAAACAACATGAGGCAGTATACATCTCACTCTGTTGCCCAGGCTGGAATGCAATGGCACAATCTCAACTCACTGCAACCACTGGCCCCAGGCTCAATTGATCCTCTGAGGCAATATATCATGTTACTTCCCAAAGCCTATAAATATGATCCATATTAATGTCACTGTTATCAGTGAGGTCTAACATCTTTCTTTATAAGACAAATGTTGTATCCCCTGATAGTGATGTTAAAATAAATAATGAAATCAACATATTAACAATTATATTTGGTGTATAAGACACTCAAACAACAACAGAATTAAGGTTTAAAGAACATTTTGAAAAAATATCTTAGCTAGCACTTGCAGTTCTGATCAAGGAATCTCAATTTCATACGAAAATTCCTATTAGTTTAGCTAGAGCTTCGTGACATGTGGTGTGCAGACCAAAACACTGGACTAGGAAAAAATAAATTCTGTTTCTAAGGCTGGTTCTAATGCTGCCACCAATAGTCTATGTGATTAGATCATGACTAGTCTCTTTGTGCCTTTCTCCTATTGTAAAATGGCAGAGAGGGAGTTTGACACATTCAAGTAGTCTTTCCAACGCAATGCTTCCTAAATTTATGAATCATGATGTTTACTGACAAATGTCCTTCTTTGCAGCTGAAATTAAAATTTTTGGATTTGTAAATAAACATTTTAAGTTGTATTTTTCTTTTTTTTTTTTTTGCAGTGCCCCAACTGGCAATATGTTAGAATTCATGTAAATGCCTAAACTACAGGGATGAACTGTTAAATTACATAACCCTTACTTGGTTCCAGGATAAAGTTGCCATCCAATGCACTGTTTTTACCTAACTGCTAATTACTAAAAAGAAAGAAGTCCTAATTTTAAATAGATAATTCAGTGAAACCTTCTACTATAAGCTGAATTGTGTCTCCCGCAAATTCATATGTGAAGCCCTTACCTCCAATTTTGTAGTATTTGGAGAAACGGCTTGTGATGACATGATAAAGGTTAAATGAAGTTGTAAGGATGAGGCCCTAATTCTATAGGGCTTGTGCCCTGATAAGAAAAGAAAGAAACACCAGAGTTCTCTCCTTTAATCATTTGATGACACAGTGAGAAGGTGGCTTTTTGTAAGCAAGGAAGAGAGCACTCAGCAGAAACCAAATAAGCGGGCACCATGATCTTGGACTTGCCAGTCTCTGGAAATTTGACAGAATAAATTTGTGTTTTTAAATCACTCAGTCTACGGTATTTTGTGATGACAGATTGAGGTAACTAGTGCACTTTCCTTTAACTTTTTCATTTTCAACATTATGAGGCCTCAGTTTTACTTTTTCCAATTATTTTAATAATTAAACTTCCATTTAGTTGTTTATAGTCCTTAGAGTTTTCTATTTGTACTTTTAAAATGAATTTAGTCAGAAAAAATATACATTCTACACATTCCTTTCTTCTTTTTTCCCTTCTGAAGAGTTATCATGTTCACTTATTCTATCTGCCTATCTACTATATTTTCTTTTTTTTCTCTTCTCTTAATTTTTCTTCCTTACTTCCCTAATTCAGATTCCTTTATGTTTCCTAACTGGACTGTCTCAATAGCCTCCAATTTTTGCTTCAAAATGGCCCTACAATGAGCTTCTTCACATCTACATTTTTTTAGTAAAATTTTTCAATGGTTCTTGGACATCGATAAGATAAAAATCTCAAACTTCTGCACGGATCTTTAGATCCTTCATGATCAGCCATTGCTTCTTCTCTTTGCTTATGTTGTTGCCTTTCTTTGGAATATTTTTCTACAATTATTTACACATCAAACAGTTCCATATCCCTCAAATGATAATATCAAACACTTAATGCTATTTGTTAGATATTGTCTAAATATTTTATGTGTATCAATCTATGTATTTAATCTCACATAGAAACTCATGAGGGGTTTTGTAATAACTATCCTTACAACTATTGTATAACTATTCTTATACTAATGTATTACTATTTTTATATGAGTTTCTTTCATTCAGAGTACTGAATGTCATAAAGATTAGTAACTTGGCCCATCACATAGCTAGTAAGTGGTACAGCTGAGAATACAACACAAGCTGTGGAGCATCAGAATCCAGGCTTTTCTAACCTTAAAGCATACTGCCTCTCTGAGTACAAATGTCATTCATTTACTTTGTGAAGTCCTCTCTAAATTTACCAGAAAATCTCTGATGAAAAATCTCTGTGCCTCATTGCATGTTACTCTACTTTGTTAGTTAACTTGTTTCATTTTCAGTTTATTTTATTCTCTGTGACTTAACTGAAAACTCACTGAAAGAAGAGACCAAAAATTTTCACCATTTTATCCCTGTAGCAGTGCTTAATACATGGTCAGTATTTAGTAAGTGAATTTTAAATAAGAGCATTTTAACATTTTACAGAGAACCTAAATTTTCTTTGGAAAAAAATGAATCAACACTTGAATGTTACATAATTTATTATCTTTAACTATTTTGATTGTGCAATTTCAAGGGAATGCTACAATAACAGAATAATCCATGCCAATAATTTTCTTATCAATCATAATATATCCTTAGAATTAAAAAATATTTTTCTATTTATAAAATAATATTTTTTAGAAGGATAACATATTTCTTTTAACTTGAATATATTCAAGCATTTCCTAAAATAAAACTGTGAGCTGCAGTAAGAAGTCATCATTTTCAATATTAGCTATTTTTGGCATTACATATGGCTTGAAAGTTGATATTCTAAACAGTAGTTTAAAGTTTAGACAATTAAAGTGGGAGGTGTTTTTTTCAAACAAGCTAATTATGTTCCAGTTTATTAACCATGAGTCTAAACAATAAAATATACCACTGAAGTCCATATGAACTGCAATCATCATATAAAGAAACATTACCATAGTTGAGCTTATTGAAATAAAAAAACACAGTATGCTGTACCAATTTCAAGACCAGGTCTAATTCCACACCATTATATTTCTCTCTTTCTTTGATATAAACAGTGGTCCATTCATCTTTATTGAATCCTATATAAAAAGTCATTGTGGATTCAAGTTTGTAGTGAGAATTCTGCCTGTATACTTATAGGAGAAGTAAAGTGTTCGGAAGGCTTTTCATGAACCTACAGATATTTGCTAAGTCTATTCATGAAAAAATCTGGCAAAGAGAGATAATCAAGAGTAATTGTTATATATACTTATGTAGCATCACATAAAAAAATGAAAGCAAATTTAATCAAATAAAGTAAAATTAGGGTAGTTTCAAAATTTAGGGAAGAACTTTTATCTCAGTTTGTGAAAGTTAGATCACAGTAAGCCACGAGATAATGTCTCACCACTCCGCAGTCAGTCCTGAGATCTAATCTCTCAATTTTTCTCTGTAAAAGGGAAAATTCACGTTTTCCTGAACTTTTGCTCATGAACAAACAGTCATGATGAACCCAAGATATATTTCATTGAATTAGTGTACTGGAACATCAAAATATTTCCCAAACCACCTGGAACTAAGTCAACAGTTGAGTTATTTCCTCATGCTTTTCATAATTGTTTTTTTCTTCAGTATAGTCCCTAGGTTAGCACATCATAATCTGTAATAAGGTTATAGGGTTTGTATTTATATTGTAATTCAATTAAACAAAGTATAGCCCCTTCACACCGGCCTGTGAAATACAAAATCAGGTAATACAGAATGGTTTTCGCTTGAATGTAACACCTAAAGAGGCTGAGACTGTGCTCATTTACATGGTTGGAAAAAATTTAGTTATACATACACTTTATGAAAATGTAAAAAATATGTGTTAATGTGGTATTTTATTAAATTTTTATTTTTTATTTTGTGAATTACTTAATGACACCCTAATTTGACTTCTCTAAATTCTAAGCTATAGAGACTTTTAATCTATGTGATGGCATATTCAACTATTATAGACTGTAATGTTTACTATATAAATGCAGTATATGATTCCAAATTCATTTAAACAAAAAGAGCAGGAATGCTGCTCATGGTGAAGTCATAAAAACTGCTAAATGTCACAAGTAGTGAAACAGTTCTCTTTTATGTAGTAGTTTGTTCAGGAATGTTAATCTATTTGTTAACTGATTAGAGCCTTCAAATGTCATAGAATACCTGAATTTTCCAATCCTGGCTAAGGCTTAAGGATGACTGAAACAAAATTATATGTACTAATGTTCTGAATTATATCATTTATGTCAGTCCTGAGGCCTCTCGTATTTTGTAGTAAGCACATCTTAGTGATTTTAGTGGATTTCTTAGAGTGGAATTAGAGACTACTTTATTGCCCTGGAGGAAGTGGTTTGAAGTTTTAAAAGTTCTGCAACCAAATATATGTGAATTAATTTGGAGTTTAACGGATGCTATGCTCTTGATACCCAAATATTTGTCCTGAGGAAAGTTTTATAGTAAAGAGCCAAGGTAAAGTTTAAAAAAGAAAAAACTAATGCAAATCGGGATTTTAAACTTTGTTGTAAGGTTTCTGTCATTTTTTCATAGTCCTTATGAGCTCAGGACTTATTTCTGCTGGTCCAGGCCTCTCCTTAATGTAGAAGAAAGTAACTTCTAAGAGTCCTTGCTATGCACAGAGAGGGAGATTTACTAGCTTAACCACAGCATTCTTTATTTTTTTAAGTGTTGTCTTTGGCTTAGGGAGTTATTATATTTCTAAATTTATATTTTATTGTATGTATTTAAGGTGTATGACAAGGTAAAATCATTACTATAGTCAAACAAATTAACATACCCATCACTTTCCATTGTTACCTTTTATATGTGTGTTGTAGGAGCATCAAAAATCTACTCTGGAAATTTTCAGTATAAAATACAGTATCATCAACTATAATGTTCATGCTGTGTCTTAGATCTCTAGACTTATGCATTCTACATATCTACAAGTGTGTACCCTTTGACCTACTTCTAATTTCCTCCCTCTTCCTGCCCCTCATAACTGAAGGAGAGATTGCCATTTGCAACAACATGGACGAACTGGAGGATGTTATGGAAGGTGAAATTATTCAAATACAGAAAGGAAAAAGTGCATAAAATCACTTATATGTGGAATCTATAAAAAGCCACCACATTCTTGGAGTGAATACAGAGTCATAAGGCAGTCATATGGGAAGGAAACATAAGCAGTGAGCTGCCTTATGGAGTTTGAAAATTCATGTTTTACTCATTAAAGATGATACTGACAACCAAGATGACGACATAAAATTGCTCTGGTATTCTAGGAATTACATCAGTATATCTATCCATTTATCTATTTGTCTATCTATACCTTTTTAACATAATGTATTTTACCTTCTCATTTGATTTTTTAAAATCAGGAACTTTAGCAAAAGTAAATAATTCATGAGTAAAAAACACATGAGTAATGAAGGACACTGTAAAAAATTGACCTGAAATTAAAAAGTAAGAGGCAAAAAAAAAAAAAAACGGATCCAGGGAGAAACCTTTAGTTGTCAGAGAAAAGAAGAATTTTGAGAGTAGGTTGGTGACTTTTCTGTGTTCTTGCCCTGCTTGATCTCAGGATTGAGGAAAATAAGGCTGACATTGATTTCTGCAAGAATAGTTTCAAAGAGCTCCATGAAATGTGGAGTCCCCTATAACAGTGTTTTGTGATCCTTCTCACAGGGTTAACACACATGGGAGAGAGGCTTTTGC